ACACACACGGGTGATGATCGTTCCAGCTGGAGGAGAACGTTATGATATTTATCATAGAGTTAATCCTCCCGGATCTCCATCGACCGTTGACTCCCACTTATTTATCATGATTAATTGAGGACATTTATTATGTAACATCGGCTGTGTGCCGTGTAAGACTTTATTATTATGATTGATCCAGATGTAATCTTTAACCCGGGAGCAACCGCTAACTCAAACAACTCGCTCCGAGAACGAGGAAACTGTAGGAGAAATACATCCTGAAGAAATCATGAGTGGATGAATGGAAAGTGAAAATTGCTATCATTTACTCTTCGCATAATGTCCTTAAACAACAAATAATAACATAAATGCAGATATTTTCCTCACACAATAAAGCATCATATAATCTGAAATATAGTGCAGGAATATGAACTGTTGTAAGGGGTATTTGACACTGTTTGTCTCCGTTCACTTTCATTTTTGTAAAAGGAGCAGCATCGTTGGGGATGAGTAAATTAGTAATTTCGTTCATTTTCATCTTAAAGGGGTAGTTCACTTTGAAATTAATTTTTGATATGTTTTAGCTTACCTCAAGGGCATCCAAGATGTAGGTGTCTTTGTTTCCATAGTAGTTTCAATTTTGACATGTTTAGGTCAAACCGTTTTTGTCTGTCAGTCATATAATGGAGGTCTATGGTCACCACCTCAAAGAGCATGCACAGAGATGTCCAAATTAAACATGATTTAATGACTCATAAATGTAAGTACACATTGATGGCCTAAGACACAAAAACGAGCGAGAAAACAAATAGTATTTATATCGTTTTTACCTCTTTTTGCCTCTCTTTGAGGTGGTGACCATAGACCTCCATTATATGACTGATAGACAAGAACCGTTTGACCTAAAAATTAAAACTACTGCGTAAACAAACAAAGACACCTACATCTTGGATGCCCTTGAGGTAAGCTAAAACACACCAAAAATTAATTTCAAAGTGAACTATCCCTTTAACTGCCATATGATGTCAGTATGATTTCAAGTCATGTCTGATTCAACCAGTCACATGAGTTTGGGGGCGGGGCTATCTGTCTGACCAATGACAGACGGGGAGTGTTTATTGAAGCTGTTATTACTTTTGCAGCTCTGTTTGTTCTCTATTAAAACTTGAGTTTTAACAAGCTGTTTAGTTGAAAGGGTTAACCCACTGACCTCACTATAAAGGTCATAGAAAACATCGTTTATTGCCTTTCATAGTGTTTGTTTGTGTTGAGTTGAAGTTATCAAGGTCATTGAAATGAGATTGGAAAGCGCCGTCGTGCTTCAGTCGCGATGGCAACAGAACAGTCCTGGCCGTAACACGCCATTCCTGCTCCTTTAATGACTGGAAACTTTTCAGTGCACTTTAAATCCTTCAGGGAACACATTTTTAATTAAATTTGCACTTTTAAGAAAATGGAAAATAAGTGTGTTCATTAAAGCGATTGGAAGTCTTTTCTAAGACGTGCAAACACTCGCAGACGCATAAAGAGGCGTATTAAAATGTCAGCTCGGCTGTGTGGCGTTTAATGGCAGTCTGACGCACTTCATTACACGCTCTTGGATGTGACGAGGCCTCTGTCGGGCGCTGAGGTCAGAGGTCACCATCCACCAGCCTGAAGCCCAGAAGGGGCCCGTCTGCTTGGCCGGCTCTCAGAGGACTGTGGGAGCCCTTCTTTGCATTGTGCTTGCTAAATCAGTCGGAGACGCTCTTAAACACATCTGACATTCTCCTGCTCGCTGAGGAACCTGACACACACACACACACACTGCTGAGATGTTAACTTCTGGATGTCATTTGATGTTTTTTTTTGTGACTGGTAGTCTGAAGAATTTTGACAAATTGCAATCTAAAAAGCAACTTGATCAGCATTAAAATATTAAAGTTAAAGTGCGTGATTTCTGCCTCACTAGCGCCATCACATGGTAAAATGATTGTTTTCAAGCAGGTTTCCTGAAGCCTTCCTGCTCAAAAAAGGGATTGTGAGAAAAAAGTGAAGAGTTAATAACATAAATATTAAAATAAATAAAATGACAAAAGCACATAACAAAATAACTCTAAAATAACTGCCAATTTTAAATGAAAACTGAAAATATAAAGATACAAGTTAAAGTAAAAAATAGTATATAATTAATACTAAAATAACATTAATAATATAATTAATGTTTTGAAGCAAAATTGTTTCACTATTTTTTAAGAAATAATAATAATAGATTATTTGAAATATTTTTAAATTAAAATAACTCTAAAATAACTGCCAATTTTAAATGAAAACTAAAAATATAAAGATAAAAGTTAAAGTAAAAATTGTAGGCTATATAATTAATACTAAATTAACACTAATAATATAATTAATATTTTGAAGCAAAACTCTTTCACTATTTTTTAAGAAATAATAATATTATATTATTTGAAATATTCTTAAAATATTCAAAATTTATAATAGATTTTTTTTTTTTTTAGAATTGTTTGCTTTATTATTATTATTATAATTATTATTATTTAATCTAGGGTAGTTGTACCACTCAGACATTTGTTACTTAATACTCGGCGAAAATTGTAATTACTTTTTGAAATATTATAAATAATTTTAAATTAGTTGACCATATAAGAGGTTTATTCAACTCTCTTTCTGTATGAATTGCATTTAAGTCTGGACACTAAAAAATGAGCATGACATCTTTGAGCCGAGTGCAGATAGACAACAGAAGCAGGTCTTTTGATCAGGACGGGTGATTCACTCGTTCAACATTTAATGAATTCGTTTGAGAGTTAAAGGGAATATTCAATAGATGACCATTTCTGACTGTCTAACACACTTTCAAGTCCTGTCAGATGAGATGGAACTGAGCAAGTGCATGTACTTTGACATTTTACATGAACGTACAAGTAAAAGAATGTTGCTATCTTTATAAATGATACTCAGAGGTGCGAAACAAATGTTTTCTCTCTTATTACATCCTTCTTTATCCCTCAAAGGTTTCTAAATGAAGGCGGAGCAGCATTTTGATGCCATAATTATAGTCATATTAGCAATGAACCTCATCCAATCTGTGCTTTAACTCTCTGCGGTCAAATCAGACCAAAGACAAGTGCAACTTTTTTTAAATGAAATGAATGTACAGTACTATATTTTCTTTCAGTAATATTTATTCTTTAATTTTTTGTATTCTAAGTGAAATTTTGTGGTACTAGACAATATATGCCTATAAATTATGCATTTTTATTACTATATAAAATAATTCAAAGATATTAGAAAAATATAATATTATACACATCATATTATTGTGAATAAATGCAGTGTTTAAGTCAAGTATTTAAAATACATCGATTCATATGTAATATTATAGTGTAACCTCTACTGTAGATGCATAACCACAGGGCTGTGTATAACTGCCTATTCAGACATAATTAATTTTATTAGGTTTTGCATTTGGATAAACATTTAGAGATTGTCAAAGACATCATCTTTTTTCATATCGGAAATGCATTGCACATATTTTCAGACTTCAAGAATAAATGTAAATATAACTTGAAATCCCTTCTGATTTGTTTTTGTGTTTCATTAAGAAAGGAATAAAGGAATAAAAGAAAGGAATTTATAAAACTTTAGCAATTTAATCAAATTTTTTAAATGTAATGAAACGACATAACACTACGGAAGCCCTGAATCACAACCTAAAAAATAAATCTGTAAAAAAAAATTAAAAAAAATTGAGATTAAAGTCAAAACATTGTTGAAAATATAGAAATAGAAATGTTTCGACTTTAATCTCGAAACGCTTCAACTTTAATCTCGAAACGCTTCGACTTTAATCTCGAAATGCTTCGACTTTAATCTTGAAACGCTTCGACTTTAATCTCGAAACGTTTCGACTTTAATCTCGAACATTTCGACTTTAATCTCGAAACACAGGGGTGATATAATGAATTGCTAGTTCATTTCACAAATAATTACAACAAAACCGCAAGTAACGCATTGAATTAAACAAGAAATTTTGAAGGAGAAAACTATACTTTTTTAGTTTTTTTTACAAATACAGTGTAGATGTAGGCTAAATATCAAAAATGTCTTAAAAGGTTATTATCGATATTGTTAATGTACATCTATTTATAGCCCAACCCTCAGTGGATGTAGTTGGGTGGGTTTGAGGACGGCAGTGTGTTTCTGAGCTGGACAAGTTCAGTCGGTTTCTTCCACACACACACACACAAATGTGCTTTGGGCTCTTGATAAAGGCAGCGTCCTTCCATGATCTCTGATTTCTGGCGCACACACACTTGCAAATCCTCCAGGAATGGTTTTCCAAAGACATGGATTGAAATCAAGTGGGGGAAGGGCCTCACAGAAAGGAAGAAAATTCTAAATAAGAGAGTAGAAAAGGGAGAGGGAATAACAGACTGCCAGAGAGAGAGAGAGAGAGAGAGAGGGGTCGGACTCACAGAGATGCATGCATTATTTATTAGCAGTATGGTCAATGGGGAAAAAAAGGAAGATTAGCAGAGAAACAAGCGAGCCGGATCTGCCCTTCCTCACACACACACACACACACACACACTTTTGTCTGCATCTCATCATCCTCATGCATCCAGCATTGTGAAGCTGCTTTAAAAATGTAGTTTCACTCCAGCTATGGTGAGACACCAGAGGTTAATAGAGTAACCGATAGATATCACCGTACTTTTCTCACTTGATTGATCACAATATGAATTGCTAATGTTTAAAGGTGCAAATGAGGCATTATCTAATTAAATATGCACTCATTTGCATACATTTCCTGAACAAAAATCTAAACACTGGATAAAGCCAGGATCAAAATTCATGTTTCATTTTGTGCATTTTTTTATCACTCCATAAATCAGAATATACTGTCAGAATATAGATAAAACTGTAACGTTTGGTGTATGTATGACTCGCGCCTACTAAAAGTGCACATCAGGACTGTCGCTGAAAGTTTTTTCCTCTCTCTTTTTTTGCAGGTTGACGCTGTCAGTTGGGACAAGGAAGAAAATGAGATGGGAATGACTCTTCATGTTTATTTAAATTATTTCATTTTCGGCTGATTTGACCGTCCATGTGGGACTGAGAGCAACCACGGCAACGTGAATCCAGTTTTACCATCAGGAATATTGCGTAACATTCCCACATCGACGGCGGCGTTCGTTTACATCAGACTTCAAAAGGCAATTAATACGAACTGTTTGTGTATGTAGCTACCTGTGTACGAAAGTATGTTTGTACAGTTAAATATACATGTCTATCTAAGAGAACAAACCAAATGCCCTTCCGCGCACAATCACGCATTAGAAGAAAGTCCGAGCTGGCGTTTCGCATTTCCCCTGCAATCTTCCGCATTGATGGCCACGGCACGATCCCGCTGCGCACCCAATAACGATGACAATAACTCCCACAGTAATAAGGATATTGCGGTTGCAGCCTGATGGTGCACATTGACTCCCTGCAGGGACTGCGCTAAAGCAATTAACAGCATCACTAACCATCATTCAGGCGGATAAATACGGTCCTCGAGTCTCGTGTTTGTGTAAATGAGTGTTAAATACAGGCAATACGCCTGCACTGGTGCTACTGTGCTTGAGTAAGACAGACGGTCGTCCGCGTTTGGAAATTAATCTGTGTTCACTGTTCCTTCCGAAGGCCCATGACAATCTTATAATGAATTGCACTTGCTGACTGATCATTAAAATGACCCGAACCATTTTTGCAACATTACTTTGAACTGTTAATGGATGTTCACACAGGACTTGTTCTTGAATTCTGGATTTTTTTGTGGAAATCGTATGTCTGTGCATTTTTGCATTACATTTATGCACTTTGTAGATGTAGATTTCAACTTACATTGCATTTAAAGTTTTAATGTGTTCATGCATTCACTGAGAGTCGAACCCATGATCTTGACGTTGCTCTACTGTTTTAACTTAAGGCCGTATGTCCACTAAAACATTTTTCCACGCGCCTGGCGTATGTTTTCAATTGTTTTCAATGGGAGCGCCGCGTTTTTTAAACGTAACTAGGCGCTGAGCGGTTATTTCACGCTGAGAGCTCTGCGTTTTTACAGGTCGCCGAGAGTTGAAAAATGTTCACCTTTGGGTAAAACGCAACGCTCATCACCGTCACTTTTTACCCAGCCGTCCAATCACAGTGAAGGAGGGGCGGGACTAAACCACACCGACCAACTGTCACGACATTCTTTCTGTACAACGACATCAACCAGCAGAGATAACCCAACAAAATGGATGATAAAAAAATTTTTTGTATAAAACAAATTATCTGCGAAATCAGTTACAAGTAAACTGTGCTGCGGATATTCTGTATCATAGCAACGAAATGTCTTAACGGAAAAACTGCCAAAATGCTCTCAAGCGCCCAAAGCGCCGATCGTCTAGCATTTTCAGCTGGCTAAAAACGCTTTGGTGGACACACAGCCTAAGGCATGTTTTAGCTTGCAATTTAAGATATGTCAAGTTAACCCCCTGTATTGTTAAAATTCTGGGTACCATTATTATATTCCGGTTCAAATTGGCCCTAATGGAATTCAGCAATAATCACTCTATGAAAAAAAATTATAATATAATAAAATTTATTAATTCTAAGACAGTATATCAAACAGTAAATCTTTAGCATTAATACTTATCACACATTACAAAAAAGTAACATGATAAACTGTTTTTAACAACTATTTTTCCACAAAATGTGAATATTATTTAAAAAAAAATGCATTTCAACTCTTTCCACCACCAGTGTTTTTGAAAAAAGTTGCAGCATTTAGGTCATTTTCTCAAAAGTTTCATGGCCCTCAGGATATTTTGTTGTATGAATGTGAGAAAATTGCATTTTTGTCCAAGTCTACGTCTTAATGAGATTCAGAACGATGACTTAAACGTAGATGGAGTAGATCAAGTCCATCAACACCCTCAAAGCTTCACAGCCCTTACCTCATCCTGGGTTGATTTATATGTTGATGATCATGTTATTTTACATATGCATCTGCTTACGCTATCTTTGTTTCTGCTACTTCTTCGGCTGTGTTTTGATCAGGAGATTCTGTACTCTTTCAGAAGATGCAGAATAGCGCCCCCTACCGTATAACAGTGGGGAAAAAATAGACAATTCCGTCAATGGCAGGAAAAGAGTTAAATGACAAATGTAGATTTTTTTTTTTGGGGTGCTTTCCCAAAGCTCAAACAGTAGAGCATGGTGCCAGCAATGGCAAGATCATGGGTTCGATTCCCAGCTACATTAGCATGCATGAACTAATAAGAAGTTACACCTTAATGGCAATGGCAACGGCAACGTACATTTCTTTCAATAAAAGTGTCTGCCAAATGCATAAAAATACCCTCCGATGTAGTTGAGGACCTTTTTTTTTATTTTGCGTCTGTGCACCTCACTTTAACCTTAAAATCTGTTTAAAATTGAAAACATTACAACTGTAATAAACATTTTGTATGCACATTCCACAACACCTCAAAGTGTCGAAACTCTGCATGACCCTTAATGAGAAATAGTCATGCAATTTCAAGAAAATAATCCTGGTTTAACTCAGAATTTCTAACCCACAAAAAAAAGTGTTGTGGGTCAAATTGACCCTGAATACCATTTCTATTCCACTATATCCAGCTGTTTAAAATGCAAGAATGCGTTCTGTGTGAACAGATCATTGATGAAGCTCATGCATTTCTCAAGTAGCTTTTCAAGACGTAAGATGACAGTCTGAAGAGCCCTTCCCAAAGTGCACTACTCTTTCAGCCTGCGTATCTCAGAACGCCAGAACTGCTCTACCTGTTAATGTCCGTACATTCTGGTTTCTGATGAACAAGAGCTAACTGAACAATAGCAATGTTTGGCCCTGCACTGTTAACATGGTTCGAATAAAGTTCAGATGTGTACAGTAATGCCATCGGACAGATCATCTTGTTTAGAGACAGATTGTTTAATAGGTCAAAAGCGAATGGAATGTGTGCAGACGTGCATGTCCAGTGACACATTACCAGTTATTATACAGTACAAATCCAGACATGGTCCCTTTTTAGCATATTATTAATATTTGAAGAGTTCAGATGCAAAAGCCTCTAAGTGCCATTTGAAATTTTCTTCTAGAATGATCATTTTATCAAGCTTATATATTCAAGTTCAGTAATTTCACTTAAATGACAATTAATAGGTAATCTTCATTGCAATTTAAGTGAAATTACTGAACTTAAATATACAAGCTTGATAAAAATGATCATTCTAGAAGAAAATTTCAAATGAGGCTTAGAGGCTTTTGCATCTGAACTCTTCATTTGTACTTTTAAGTCAGCTTTAGTCATGATGGTGTGACTAACCGTCAGAGTATTGATGTTTGTGGAATTTAAAAGGTCGAATGCACTTTTCAACATTTTTGTGCAACATTCCAGCTAATAAGGTCACATTTTGCACCTGTAAATTTGGTAAGGCCACGAACACACTGCACAGCCTCGTCGTTATCGAGTCACTCGGAATTTGAAATATATTGATAATCATAGCAACATTAGCAACATTTTGCGAGATAAAAAGTCAGAATTGCGTGATATAGTCTCAATTTCGAGATATAAAGTCACAATTGCGAGATATAAAGTCACAATTGCGAGATATAAAGTCAGAATTGCGTGATATAAAGTTGCAATTGCGTGTTATAAAGTCAGAATTGTGAGATTTAAAGTCAGAATTGTGAGATATAAAGTCGCAATTGTGTGTTATAAAGTCAGAATTTTGAGATTTAAAGTCAGGATTGTGAGATATAAAGTCAGAATTGCGTGATATAAAGTCGCAATTGCGAGATATAAAGTCAGAATTGCGAGATTTAAAGTCAGAAATGCAAGATATAAATTCAGAATTGTGAGATATAAACTATTCTGAGGGGGGGAAAAGTTAGTCTTTTTTCCCCTTAGTATTGGCCTGATAAGTCGCAATTGCGAGTTTATATCTCACAATTCTGAGAAAAGATGTCAGAATTTCGACATATAAACTCGCAATTATGTGTTATAAAGTCAGAATTGCGAGATGTAAACTCGCAATTGTGAGAAAAAAGTCAGAATTGTGAGATAAAAAGTTCACACAATATCACACAATTCTGACTTTATATCTCGCAATTCTGACTTTAGATCTCGCAATTCTGATTTTATATCTCGCAATTCTGACTTTATAACACGCAATTCTGACTTTATATCTTGCAATTCTGATTTTATATCTCACAATTCTGACTTTATAACACGCAATTCTGACTTTAGATCTCGCAATTCTGACTTTATAACACGCAATTGTGTGATAAAAAGTCGCAATTATTTTTTTCATTTTTTTTATTCAGTGGCGGAAACAAGCTTCCATATTCAGCTGACTAAAGAAATGTTAGGAACATATTTTAATGTATTTTTGCTCCCAATTCACTGAAGGAATTATGCACTAAAATACGACGCGTGAATCCAATGCTTTATATGAAACGCTCAGAAGTGGAGTGACACCCTTATTAACCTGCATGCAGTGTGAACGTGGTCTTATTCAACTAACCGGTTTATACTTCGAACATCGTCTCATCCGTATTTTCAGAGTGACCTGCTGACATGAAGAGACTGTTTTTATGTTGAGCTGTCAGAAGCCAGCGTAACGGGCCACATTAATGTCTCCACACACCTGTTGCGACATCACTGGATTCCAGCCAGTATTAGCAGCCGAATAATTGTTCATGCAACGTGCGTGCTTTAAACATGTAAGAGCTCCTCCTGCCTTTGTGGCAGACACAGCCTTGCATGCAAAACCACATGCCGTATTTTAGGTGTGTAGAGTTTCTCCTTTTTTTGTGCTGGGCGAGAAAAATGTACGAGGCTTGGAATGGAGAAAATAGAAGTAATAATAATATTATTGCACATTTAGCACTGTGACGAACACACAAATCACAAACAAAAAAAAGAAGACATCATGTTTGCATAATCATTGGCGCTTGCTTCAAAATTGGTTATTAAATCGATATATATATATATATAAATGTGTAAATCTACCATGAAAAGGGAACAGCTTTAGATTCCCGGTTTGCTCTATTGGACATGCTATGGAATGTGCTGTCAATACCATGCTATTCACTGAATCTTTAATTCATCTGTGAATATTTAATCTTTTTGTAATCTTTGTTATATACTAGGCTGTATATAGTATATGACGAGGGGTCGAGACGCCGGTGTGACAGTGACGCTTCGGCGGTCTTGACTAATTCATATTCCGTATATATACTGGTTGGGGAAAAGGCGTCGAGGTTCGACATTGCATCCCGCTGTGCTGAACACTGAATCTGTGTTTTTGCTTCACTTGCCTATATATTTTGTTCTTTTTGTAAGATGCACTGAAATAATGCAGAATTTTGACAAACCGTTCTGGAACCTAGAAGTGTAACTGGTCACTTTATAACAAACGAAACGTAGAATATATTAGAGTAGTAATTGCATTATTTGTTAGAAACTGTATGTAATGTTATTATGGAAGATGTAATGTCCTTCTGTAAATGTTGTTTATCGTTGTTTTACCTGAAATAAATAAAGTTTATTAATGCTTCAAACCAACCACACTTTTCACAATTGAGCCACATAAGTGATGATTTGGAGATCTGTGCATTGATTTAAATAGAAGATGGCATACTATATTAACAAACTGAGATTAAAAAGTGAAAATATTTGCTTTTGCAATGTTTAACCCTTTCATGCATGAATTATACAATGTGTTTTTATCGTATTGTAGCACTTTATTTTACAGTCCTGTTTCCCATGTACTTATTACAGTAATTACAAAAACTAGGTTGAACCTAACCTTAACCCCTGTAGTTACCTTATATTACCCAGTATTTACTTAAAAAATAAAGTGCAACCTTTTTTAGTGCTCTTAGGGCATGAAAAACAAGATTTGAAAAACAAAGAGATTTTCAGATCTCCACTTGAGTGTGCGTTTTTGTGTTTAACTGAAGAAATACTGTAATACAGTAATACAACTGTATTTAACAAACCAATGAATAAATGCAAAAAGAATTAAATTTAGGCCAAAAAATAGGGCTGTCAAACGATTAATTGTGATTAATCGCGATTAATCGCATCCAAAATAAAAGTTTGTGTTGTAATATATGTGGGTGCACTGTGTATAATTATTTTGTGTGTGTGTGTATATA